ATCAGCTAAAAATCGTGCCGTTACGTAAACAGATATGCAATGAACGCACATGCAACTTGCACATGAACGCAGAATCGGCATTGACATACCTCGTAATCAAAGTAAGATTGGACATCTGATGACGTACTATCATCACTACAGTAACCAGGGATTGGTGCAGACAAACCTGAGAACGTTACGTCACCAAACAGGTCTGACGTCATATTACACGCATGCGCATCATATACTAGTGGAAAGGATTGTGAASAAAGTATGAGAATATGGRAAGTATGSTTGTTTCTAAAAAGCCKTTTCWTGGGRTTCCTTTGGTATGGAAAGATCTCGAGTAGAGAGGGACTGGGTTTGATTATCATTATTTCCGAGACAAGTATCTGCAAAGGAATCCCAAATTGATGGATTGATCTAATGAAGAACCTGGGAAGAGTATAGGAGAGCATTTAAACTATGCACTARAAAGCATGGGTGACTTTATAGCATTAAAATGCTTTCTCAAAAATTTCACATTGGGTGDTTCCAGACTTTTATAAAATCCCCCCTCCCCTCCCCTCCTCCCACGATAGACTGTTAGAACGCAATAAAACATGTGACCAAATTTCTAAACTGATTCCCTTCGRAATTTTAGTAAATTTTCTCTCGGCTGTTAAACGTTTTCTAATAACCCAGATTTTCAATTAGTTTGGATAAAATATTACTTTTGAATATTATAAGACCAATATTATTATYGTCGATCGCAACAGTGCTTCAGGTTTGAAACTAGAAAAGGTAAGTTAATAGAAGTTATTAGCAAGCAAGACTGAGTATAAAACAGTTAGCTGTCGTGGTAGATTGTTAGAAGATGGTTGAATTAACTTTTAAGTTACAGAGAAAGATAGACATTCTTATATTTATAGTTCATTTGTTCTTATTTTCACGTACACACATTCATATTTTTCGGAAATCAGTCCTCTAGAGTGGAAACGACCATTGTCTGTTAGTGTTTTATGAAGTTAAACGATCAGCTTACCTCCATAACGAGTTGGCATATCAATGCGATCTATTTTYAGTTGACAAATAGCATGAGACCTGRATGRRAAAAAAAWTAACAAATCTTYGARTTMAAGGTGAMATCATCGATGCTATAATACCRAACAGGATMACGGGAAGACACTTAAGCGCAGGATTCCTGAAGATGAAATCACAGATGCTATAAAAACAGACAGAGAGCATGGAAAGACAACAACAATTAATACCAGGCAGTGTTCTAAAACACGCAAAATATCAATTAAATATTAATTATTAATATTAATTTAATATTAATTATTAATATTAATTTAATATTAATTATTAATATTATTAAATCCTAATTGTCGTTCCATGATCCCCTTCGGTCTTTAATAGCTTGATGATGTAACTTTTAGGGGCACTTTCCCCCCCCAAAAAAAATGCTGAATACGCGCATGAAAACGACGCATGAAAACGACGAAATTCAGGAAAATTGTAGGCGAGCTTCGGAACGGCTACCCAGAGCCAAAAAATCCCTCGTTTTCATCAGCGCTTGAAAGCGCTCCCCGCATCTCGGAAATAGTCTATTATATTAGGCGTAGACTGTACCTGCTCGAGTGCCGATTCATTCTTGTTTCCGCGACAGCCAGTCGTTTTCTACCAGTGCCAAACAATGCTGTAACCTCAGTTGGAGTCCTCACAAGTAACTCTGAAAGATGGTCTACGAATACACCTGGACAGTAAAATAAAGCGTTGAAAACTCCATAACGACGATGATCAAAACTGATGATGAATATGATAATACTTGGGCCRATTATCAATTGAAAAAATCGCGCACTTTAAGGTTGTAAACGTGATGTAAATATAATGTAACAATCCAAAATGATGTAAATTTGATGAAGCTGTTTTCTGTGTGTTCTTCCAACGYATCTTTTTCGAAAGATGGTTGTGTAAGTAGTCAACATGATCAAGGCAAACCTTTTTTGGGGTGTTCTCGTAGAAACACTTCCCGCATCTTTCCSGCGCATAAGAGATCGTAGATTCTTTCTTGATAAATCTGAAGGTACGAGCATGTAACCTGCAAATGATCAAGGCAAGGGGTTGATTACGTCATAAGACTAAGGACATCATTACACTTGGACCTTCCTAGAAGTTGAAATAAAGTCCCTCACTCGTATGTATGAAGGTATGAATACAATTAATTGCCTTACAGTGTATGAGTGAGTCTGATCTCTTTCGATGATTGAGAAGATTGTATTTACAATACTTGGTGTTACGCCATCCGATGCCATTAAGGTGTACGTTTTCCCTACAAAAAAAAAAAATGATTCAATTGACTAAACAAACCATCCACAAGACTAAACAACAAACTATGACCAACAAACACGACGCGAAAAACTAAGATGACAAAGAGGAATGCATTATGACAGAAAGCTTGCGACATCTTGAAAGCTAAAATGTTRGGAACTAGCGGTGAACTAGTGTGAGCTGCGTTGGTGTTTCTAAAGAAACAGTTGTGTATAAAGATAAATTCAACACCGTAAAAAAGTAGGTGAAATAACTTACTGGCGTTTCGGACGTTAATCTATCGTCGGAGTAAAGAGACCCTAAACTTTTTACTCCGACGAAGGGTTAATGTCCGAAACGTCAGTAAGTTATTTCACCTACTTTTTTTACAGGTGTTAAATTTATCTTGAAAGCTAACAGAGGCTTTGTCATTGTTTGTTAAGTTTGCTGTGATAGATACCTGTGAATAATTGGTCACTATTTGCATTCAGAGCGGAGCTCTTTTTGCGCTAGTATTCCCAGCAGTTCCTTACCTGCCCCCGTTTGTCCGTAGGCCATTAAAATCCCGTTCATGCCTGTAAGACATGCTTCAACAAGTGGTTTTCCGATGATCTTGTAAACCTGCGCAGTATGAAAATGTAATATTAATTCGACTCAACTCTCATAAACCACATGTATAATAGCCTACTCGTCAAAGCCTTGTTGGAYATCAGCTCGTACAAGACTCGATTCCCTGGAAGAATTGCTAAGCATGTACTTTAAGACATAATCATCAAACCTAACGACTTTTTCAATTCCGCACCATCAAACAAGTTAGCAAATACGCTGGGCCTCCCAATGACATTGGATATCATCGAAGTCTTGACTGACATAAAAATTACCTGATCATTCCCAGTCTCTGGCGGTATGACTTGGTCAAATTCGAAAGATTTCTCTGCTTTGCCGTCAAAGACATTAATCTGRAACGCAATAAACGAGCGAGGTCATTACGATTTTAAAACATAGTAAAAAAAAACTAAAATAACATTAAAATATCGATGAAACTGAGAGCTTACTTGAGTTTGTTCTGCATTCCCGACCTGAACAGCCTCGCGTCCAAGCTGACATTTTACATCCTGTTTACAAAAAGGACGAACTCGGACGWATACTTGGATGCGTCCTGACGGGGAGCTATTGGGACGAGCTACAACAGAATGCATAAGTGAATTAAAACCCTATACAATCGAAACGAACAAAGATAGTAAAAACAACTCTGAATTCTTGGCCGATTAATAGCTAATAAATAATGATAAAAAATAATAATTACTCAGCGAAATGCAAGTTTAAGGCAGACACTCTAATACTAAATCCGCGTCGTGATAACGAGGCCGAGAGGAAAAGTTCGCACAAGGCTTCCCAATTATGGCAAAAAGAAAATTACTTGAAGTAACTATATACACTCCATTTTTGCAAATCAATCAATTCTAAGTAAAGAAGAAAGCTACGTTGCATCGGATTATTAAGCATTAAATACATTGGGAAGCTGACTGCTCTTTAGAAACTGACAAAAATCTCTTTCCGCAATTTATGAAATATAATATAAAGAGAAAAAAAATGACATGTCCGGTGCTGTCAGCTCAAAAATCAATTATAGGCAAAGCTTTATCATTCTCCTTGAGGATGGCTATAAAACTGAAAAAACTGTTTTTATCACGGYTAGTTTGTTTTGATAATTTTTACATATAACTGTTTTGCATACTGCTTTTGGGGGAATTCTGAGGATATGGAATTGTTATGCAATATTTGATAAATTGAGCTGAGATTTATAATAACCATTTTACCTTTAGGATAAGAGTCAGTAGTGCTGTACGTACAGCARTTCTCCATCATGTGGGRATAATRAGCATTATTTTAAAACTAACCCTACGTCAACCAAGATTTCCACGCACAATCACGATTAAAATCACKMCCAACAAACCACAATTACCATATCGAGGTTAATAGACGATTAAAATCGCRCAATTTCCTYTGCGATCGTGAAATGGCAATCTTTTCAAAAAACTGACAATTGACAGCAAAATGTAAATAAGATTTCAAAATGGTCCCATATTTAKTTATTATAGRCCWTTYTGGKTT